GACCATTATAATCCATTACTGTTTAAAGTTGAGCTAGCACATAAATTTTAATTCACTCTTAAATGAAGATATATTTCAGTAGATATAATGCTGAAATGCCTAATAATATTCTTATAAAGAAATTCAACAAGCTCTTTAGCCTAAAAAATATTTTTTCAAAATAGTCTCTTAAAATTAAAGTGTCACATTACAGATTAATAAAAATGAAAACTTTAGCTACTTAACCCACCCCTTTTTGTGAGCAACAAGACTTTTTTTCTGTTGCCATATAATAGTTGTCTTTGACTCTGGAGTTGGAAAGACACCTGTTCAGTCTCATGGAAAGATCTGAGATAACATGTATGCCTGTTTGTATTGTGCCCTCTGAACCTAGGGAGGTGTCTAGGGGTGTAATTTTCACAACCAGCTGTGAATGGTGCTTTCCTTCACTATGCAATAGTGCCCCCTACCCAATCTTCCAAAGACCCCAGAGGCATAGCACCAAGCCCATCAATGGGAAGTCTTCTTGATTTGAGCCTACTTTCAGCCACCTGGGAAGGACAGTGTTAGATAAAACAGATGTGGGGATTGGAGCTTCCCCGTTTACATCCATCATCGTAGAGCTTAGTAATGGCGGTGAATGATATAAAAGCTCTATAGCCAATGTTTTTTCTTTCTAGTTGATTCCAAAAGTGCAGTGGAAATCAAGAGTATCTGGTCTGGAACTGAACTGCATAGAACACATTTCTATTGTTCCATCTTTGTATTATGACTAGATTAAGTGCTGTTGCCCGAAAGAATAAAGGAATCAAGTTTTAGTTTTCATTTTTATCATTGCAAATACATTTACATTCTCCTATTTTACAAATGCAAAGAGCAGGCAGGCCACTTTCAATAATTTATTTTAAAATCAATGCTAATGAGGTTATGTCTCGTCAGTAGCCGAGTTTTACAATAAAGTCTGATTTATTTAGAAAAGATCTTTGGTGAAGCTTCCCATCTAATGGCGGTGGGAAGGAGGTGGAGTAGCAGCACTGTGACCCTCCAACTTCGGATCCAATTTGTAATTCACAGTGGAGATCTGACCCAATTTACATTGATTAGAATTGGGAGGAAGAGACAGCTGCGCACAGACAGCAGCGGTAGAATAAACCCTCTCTGCAAAAGTGCCTAAGCACAGCAAATTATTGGTCTTTGTGATGGAGTTGTTTGATATCAACAAAAGAGCTGCTCTCTATCCAAATTATTAGGTATCTCTAAAACTGAGGATGTACCAACTTTTCCTCTAATGTTTCCAATCCTAAAATTAGTCCCATGTCAAAGGAAACGCATCATAGCCAAGAAAGGAAGGAAGTGGACGAGTAATGAGAAGACAATGTGCAAAGAATATTTAATGTGGTTTATTTCAGCATGATCTGTTTCTTATATTTGATTTCACTCCTCAATTAGCTTAGGTTGTTTTATTCCTCATGGTAGGGTTGAGGGAGCTACAGGTGGCAAGTAGAACATTCTCTGCTGCTAGATCATACATGGCTATAAGAACTGTTGAGTGAAAGTGCTCCTTCTCCTACTATATTGTAGGGAAAAAATATATATATTTTATTTCCCAGAGTATCAGTCTTTTTTTTTTTTTAAGAGACAAAGTCTCACTCTGTTGCCCAGGCCCAGGCTGGACTGCAGTGGTGCAATCAGCCTCAAACACCTGAGCTCAGGCAATCCTCCTGCCTCAGTCTCCCAAGTAGCTGGAACTACAGGTGTGCACCACTGTGCCTAGCTAATTTTTATTTTTATTTTTTATAGAGACAGGGTTTTGCTCTGTTGTCTACACTGGTCTCTAACTCTTGGGCTCAAGCAATCCTCCCATCTCAGCCTACCAGAGTGCTGGGATTGCAGGCGTGAGCCACCACAACTGGCCGTATCAGTCTCTTTCTTACTTGAAATCAATTACTCCTTTAATGCTTTATAGTATTCTAACATATTTTTATGCTGCTCCTTCTTACCTATGAGCTTGGAGCTTACTTCCCCAGTTTGACACACTGGAACTCATATTGCCCTATAAACATTACATTTAAAAAGAGAAAGAGAAATGTCAAAGATTCATTTAGTGGCAAAACTATGGAGAAGCAAGACAAGCAAATGTCGTTAAGACTCAGGAGAAGGGCCAGGCACGGTGGCTCAAGCCTGTAATCCCAGCACTTTGGGAGGCCGAGGCGGGCAGATCACGAGGTCAGGAGATCGAGACCATCCTGGCTAACACGGTGAAACCCCGTCTCTACTAAAAAATACAAAAAACTAGCCGGGCGAGGTGGCGGGTGCCTGTAGTCCCAGCTACTCGGGAGGCTGAGGCAGGAGAATGGCGTAAACCCGGGAGGCGGAGCTTGCAGTGAGCCGAGATCCGGCCACTGCACTCCAGCCTGGGCAGCAGAGCGAGACTCCGTCTCAAAAAAAAAAAAAAAAAAAAAGACTCAGGAGAAAAGAAAGTAAATGTAGCCAGGAGGAGCTGAGTATTGAGCCCTCAAAACATTGCTTATTATACCCTATCTACTGTGCACATGTGTGTATATATGTGTGAGTGAGAGAGTGGGAAAAGAGCATGGTGGTAGTGAAAAGAATAGCAAGTGTATTTTTCTTCACTTTGTCCCATGTATAAAATAGCTAAATATGATTCTGGTACACATATTTACTTTATAAAGGCCCAATTCCTATTTTATCAGGTAATGTTATGAGATGAAATCGGTTAATGGGATTAAGAAACGTAGGCCAATTATGTTATGACTTTGACCGTATAAACATTTGACTGGACACTGGCATTGACTTAGAACCCATTGTGAATCTACGGCAATTAATTAAAAGACCATTCCAGCTACCCTCAGGAGCTTATACTCTAATGAACAAGGCAGGCTGAATAAAAACAGTAAAAAGATAACTACAAGCCCCAAGTACTAGGAACATAAAATTATGTACATGACCAGCCTCCATTACAGCTAAACAAAGATGGATACATTAAGGATTAAGGACTAATTAATCAAAGAGGGTTTTTTGTTTTTTCCCAGGGACAGAGTCTTGTTCTGTCACTGAGGCTGGAGTGCAGTGGCAAAATCTCGGCTCACTGCAACCTCTGCCTCCTGGGTTCAAGCAATTCTCCTGCCTCAGCCTCCTGAGTAGCCGGGATTACAGGCGCCCGCCACCGTGCCTGGCTAATTTTTGTATTTTTAGTAGAGACAGGGTTTCACCATATTGGCCAGGCTGGTCTCAACTCCTGACCTCATGATCCGCCCGCCTTGGCCTCCCAAAGTGTTGGGATTACAGGCATGAGCCATCGCACCCAGCCAGTCACAGAGGGTTGTTCAGACACACACACACGCACACACTCTAACATCCTAACTCTGGAGTGCTTAAAACCAGAGAGAATGCTTTCATAGAGATAATAATTTTGAAGAGAATTCCAGAGAGAAGGAGAAATGGAGTTTGAGGAAAAGGATTAGGATTCCAGTGATAGACATCTGAATAATCCAATGGACTGGAAGCTCCACAATGGCAGGAACTCTGACAGTCTTGTTTATTGCTTGTCCCCAGTTCCTAGTGCGGTGTCTTGCATGTAATAAGCACTTCAACATGCTTATGAATAAATGAAAGGGAAGGGAAGGAGAGGGCCAGTTTGAAGGTGACAAATTAATACTATTTTTTTTTTTTTGAGACGGAGTCTCGCTCTGTCGCCCAGGCTGGAGTGCAGTGGCTGGATCTTGGATCACTGCAAGCTCCGCCTCCCGGGTTTACACCATTCTCCTGCCTCAGCCTCCCGTGTAGCTGGGACTACAGGCGCCCGCTACCTCGCCCGGCTAGTTTTTTGTATTTTTTAGTAGAGACGGGGTTTCACTGTGTTAGCCAGGATGGTCTTGATCTCCTGACCTCGTGATCCGCCCGTCTCGGCCTCCCAAAATGCTGGGATTACAGGCTTGAGCCACCGCGCCCGTCCTACTATTTTTTTTTAAGAACACAGTAGGCCGGGCGCGGTGCCTCACGCCTGTAATCCCAGCACTTTGGGAGGCCGAGGTGGGCAGATCACAAGATCAGGAGATCGAGACCATCCTGGCTAACACGGTGAAATCCCGTCTGTACTAAAAATACAGAAAATTAGCTAGGTGTCCCAGCTAATCGGAAGGCTGAGGCAGGAGAATGGTGTGAACCCGGGAGGCGGAGCTTGCAGAGAGCAGAGATTGCACCACTGCACTCCAGCCTGGGCGACACAGCGAGACTCTGTCTCAAAAAAAAAAAGAACACAGTAATTGCCAGGCACGGTGGCTCACGCCTATAATCCCAGCACTTTGGGAGGCCAAGGCGGGCAGATCATCTGAGGTCAGGAGTTCGAGACCAGCATGACCAACATGGAGAAACCCTATCTCTACTAAAGATACAAAATTAGTTGGGCATGATGGTGTGAGCCTGTAATCCCAGCTACTCGGGAGGCTGAGGCAGGAGAATCGCTTGAACCCGGAAGGCGGAGGTTGCAGTGAGCTGAGATTGCGCCATTGCACTCCAGCCTGGGCAACAAAGAGTGAAACTCTGTCTCACAAAAAAAAAAAAAAAAAGAACACAGTAATTAAACTTTCCTTAAAAAAGAGAATATGATGAGCTCAGAGAAAGGGAACCTCTCCATATAAAGAACGTGAGACTGGCTGGATGCAGTAGCTGACACCTGTAATCCCAATACTTTGGGAGGCCAAGGAGGGCAGATCACCTGAGGCCAGGAGTTCTAGACCAGCCTGGCCAACATAACACAACCCCGTCTCTACTAAAAATACAAAAATTAGCCTGGCATAATGGCAGGCACCTGTACTCCTAGCTCCTCAGGGGGCTGAAGCAGGAGAATCCCTTGAACCCTGAACGTGGAATTTGCAGTGAGCCAAAATTGTTCCACTGCACTCCAGCCTGGGCAACAGAGCAAGACTCTATCTCAAAAAAAAAAAAAAAGATGAGACTGTGAACCACTAATTGCTAATACTGATCATTTATCTCCCCAGATGAAGAGCATGATCTAGAAGAGGATGAGAGTGGCACTCGACGAAAAGGAGGTATAAGAGCTTCTAAATGCACAGGCACTGGGTAGGACATTATGGGGTTCTGATTAGAGAAAGCACCTTTCTCTGAGACTATAAAAATTACTGGACTCAATAATTAAGAGGGTATCTGTGTGTGAACCCCAAAGCCCCAAATAAAGTGACTGGGAAATACCTAAACTTTAAAAGCAGCCATCCATTCACTTCAATTAATGTTCCCAGAACAACCAAGATTTATCCTAGAGAGGGTGGGAAGCCAAACCAGATATTTATTTTTTCCTATCAGTATTTCTTAAATCAGTACAGTGAAAATAGAATTGCCTCATCTCTAAGAGATCAGAGGATTGAGAACGGAAAGAATGGAAATGTCTCCTCTCTGAGAGGCCCAGAGATTGCAAGTTCAGAGGGGAATGGAAATGTGTCAGATCTGAAAAGTGAACACGGGGTGAAAGATAGAATTGCTTGGTGATGCTGACTTCTGATGGCCTGGTTTGATTCCAGGCACATTTGGAAATGAATATGTAACAGGTTTGTTGAATATAAAATTACATCTTATTCATCCCAGACTGTTAACCATGCTTCAGGCTGTTAGTGAGCCCATCCTTTCAAAGGTCATATGCCCCTCTGAAGCCTCCTTAAGTGGACCAAGGACCTAGTCCATGGTTGTCAGTAAAGGAATGCTGCACATTGCAAGGGCCACCTCAAGGACATTCGTTCCATCAGCAGAGCCCTAATCATGACTGATTTAGATACTGGCTGATATTTTTCTTAGGGAGTCTATGAAAATCTTAAGCCTAGGAATTCTTGCCCTCTTTCCCTCCCTGCTCCTTCTCCGTTATCTGGCCCTGTCTTTTCCCATTCTCCTCTCTCCTTTCCTTGTGCTTTTTCTTCTCTTCCTTATCCATCCAGCAAAACCCCCATTTCTAGGTTCATTCTCTACAGAAAGTGAATACTTAAAAGGTTCAGGACTCAACTTCCTAAGAGTCCAGCTTCTCCCAGGGAAGAGAAGAGACAACGAAGATGCAGCCTCAGAAGTCATGTGCCAAAGCAGGAGAGAAAGAAAGCAGGAGAGGCGGGTATGGAAGTATGTGAGTGTAGCTGCCAGTACCTCATGATAACGAACACATGTGATTAGGTCCATTCTGAAACCTGTTTCCTTCTGTTTTCTACTTACTGTCCAGAATTCCAAATGAAAATCTGTTCTGACCCACCCATGTTCCACATATATCTTTTCTCAACCAACTTCTATCACCAGTGCAGAAAAGAAACGCTTCATGTGGACAGCTTGGGTGGAGTAACTGTAAGCTTCCTATGGCCAATTTCATATTAAACTCCGTTCAGGAAGCATCGGTCTTTTAGCACAGTCTAGAATCCAGTTTCAGATTCCTCCCTCATCTCATTTCCTCCTTCCACCTCTTTCTCTAAGGTTATATCTGGGAGGTGAAAGGAGCCTTATTTCTTAACTGTTCCTACAACTATAATTCAAATAGGTTTAAAAAAAAGAAAAAACCCTTTTGTTCCTCATGCTTCCTGCCTCCAAAACAAGTGTTGTTAAAGTATAGCAAGCTCTGAATATGCTTCTATGGTTTACACTTCCCACCAGTTATGATTGGTGACTTAGTGATTAAAAAACAGGAGGACTTTTTGCTCTCTCTGCAGAATCTGAGGCAGGAATTTTTATTATTTGTGTTTACTTATTTATCGATTGATTTTATATAGTGCCTTATCTCCAAAGGCACTATAGAAATGGTGAAATATATATAAATCCAAATGTCATCATTTAGTTTTGTAACAATAAAAGATAGAGGTCTGGGGGAAGGGCAGGCAGCCCCAGTGAAGGCATTTAAAAGGCAGGGAGCTCTAGGACAGTGTGAATTCCTATGTCATAGACAAGCTACACAAGTTTGGGCTACTTAGTTTTTCTCAGGTGCGTGTTTTTTTGTTTGTTTGTTTGTTTTTTGAGACAGAGTCTCGCTCTGTTGCCCAGGCTGGAGTGCAGTGGCGCTATTTCTGCTCACTGCAACTTCTGCCTCCCGGGTTCAAGTGATTCTTCTGCCTCTACTTCCCGAGTAGCTGGGATTACAGGCACGTGCCACCACGCCTGGCTAATTTTTGTACTTTTAGTAGAGACGGGGTTTCACCATACTGGCCGGGCTGGTCTGGAACTCCTGACCTCAGGCGATCCGACCGTCTTGGCCTCCCAAAGTGCTGGGATTACAGGCATGAGCCACCGTGACCAGCCTTTTCTCAGGTGTTAACATGCTTTTGGGGAGAAAAAAAAATTTAAGCAAGCTGACCTTTCCCTTCTTCGTTTTTTCCCAAAAGATGCTATGGCTAGCAGAGTTACTTTTAAAATCCAAGTACTTTTCTCCAGCCTCGATGGATCCTGTTCCTTGAATGCTGTGCTTTTTTCCCTGATGGAATTGCTAACATTCTTAAGGCCCAACTAGATCTTATCAGAATAGTGGGGGAAGGGATTCAGTTCATCCTTATTGAGTGTTAATGACCCTGTAAGATGTAATTTCTTTTATTTCATTCTGTTACCTAGAAAATCTATCACAGCCTTGTAGTATTGATTGCTCAATCTATAAAGAGCTCAGTTTACAGCATAACTGTTAGTAACAGGGTTATTTTAATGAGTGACTCTTCAACACCTCAGAGTTTCACTAAATTCCAACCCATCAGCCCAATAGTCTAACACTAAGGGTCTTAGGTAATAAGTTTATCACCTCTCCTTATCATGAAAAGGTAACCTCCAGGTAACCAAAAATGAAACTTCCTCTGTGTTCGTTTTTATAAAAATTATGGCCATTTGTTTGCGTGTGCTATGTCAAATAAAAAGCAACCCTGGAGGCACAAATTATCCTTAGATACATAAAATCCTTGACCAAGGAAAACCTGAAACAGACCCCTCCCACCCTATCTCCCTCAGTCTGCCCCCAACCCCAACTCTGAAATTGTGGGCACACTAAGCCAAAAGTAGACACAGATCACACTGTTGTGGTCTTATAAGCAAATGATTGCTTTCAGGAGGGCCAAAAAATGGTTGCTTATACCACTCCATCTTTGAGGCCCTCTTCTCACTTTAGGCTTACCAATAGAGTGAACTACTACATGAAAGAAACAAAGGGAAACCACGGAGGTGTTTGCAGCTCTTACCTTTTGAAGCCTGTTTTCCAAGACCAAACATGAGCTGATTATCAACCAGCTAAAATTTTGGCCCAATGAAAAGAGTAAATGACATGAAAATCAGAATCTGAGTGTACTCCACTTCCAAATCATACTTATAACACTAGGATCACAGTAATTTCAAAACTCAAGATTAAAGCACTATGAAATAAGTAAATGATATTATCCAATTGCTCTTCCTCCTCTGGTGCCATAGTCAGTGAGGGCTTGGCAAATATTTTCATAGCTTCCTTCCAAAATAGTTTATAAACTATCAAGGCTGGGCGCAGTAACTCACATCTGTAATTCCAGCACTTTGGGAGGCTAAGATGGGAGAATTTCTTGAGCCCGGGAGTTTGAGATCAACCTGGGCAACAAAGCGAGATCCTGTGTTTTCAATAAATTAAAAAGATTAGCTGGGTGTGGTGGCATGCACCTGTAGTCCCAGCTACTCAGGAGGCTGCAAGGGGAAGATAGTTTGAGCCCAGGAGTTCGAGGCTGCAGTGAGCTATGATTGTGCCACTGCACTTCAGCCTGGGTGACAGAGCAAGACCCTGTCTCAGAAAAAAAAAAGAAAGAAAATTATCAGAGTTTACCTGAATGGACTGAACATGTTGGACCTTTCTGACCTGGCTTAAAGAACATTTTAAGTCACTTCCAAAGGGTCACTACTTTGGCGTTTTTTGTCCAAGTCTCACCATCCCACCATCCCATCCTCTCGTAGGACTGGCTTTATCCGTCTTCGCGTTTTGTTTCTCTTTTCCATACCTTAAGAGGTTGTACTTAATGCCAGGCCTTATTGACACAATCATTTTAGTAATCAAGAAAATGTGAATAACTTGCTGGCCTGCCTTTAGCCACTTTTCCCTGGTCACAGCCTGAATTCTGTCACTACCCAGTGACTCCCAAACATAAGCTGAACTCTGGAAGGAACAGTCAGGTTTTATTGTCCCTAAGGAAGGAGAAAGGCAGAGAGATGTCCTGGTCCTCTTTACCTTAAAACTTTGCTCGTCATAGAGGCTAATTTTCAGACATTGACTCTATCACCAGTAGCACCAACTTGGCCTCAGTTACAAGAGAAATGATTGTTACTAGTTGTAAAGAACCTGGCATGCAATGACAAATGCTTTGCAATAAATAGAAAAAAGAAACCAATACTTTTTTTAACTTGGTCTGTTGCTATTCTTCTTATGATATTTTGGTTGCTTGGAGTTTAGCTTCCGTTACATAGGATAAAGAGAGTAAGATGCTGCTTTTTTTTCTCTAGAAAAAGCCCTTCTCAGCTCTGCTAGCAATTTAAATGCAGTGATCATACCCATTAGCTTCTCTATCATTGTAATTGTTGTTAATTGTTATAACTGTTTTAGTTATTAGTGGTGTCATTATTGCTCTAGGTCCTCTGTCTGTTTTATGCTGAATATATTAGTGCTTTGCTTTTGAATTACCAGGCTTTATTTAGTGCAGGGTTACGTTTTTTGGAGAGACATTGAGAAATGCTGGCATTAAGCTTTATTCTTTTGTTTTTCATTCCAAATGGACAGACTGGAAAAAAAAATAATTAGATGGAATAATGTCCTCAAAATGAGAATGAGGATGTTTTGAATTAATTAAATGGTCAGAATGCTGCACCATTTCTGATTTCAGACGCCTGCCAGAGTAATGTAAGCCTAAAGGAATCTAAATCCAGACCATAGAGGCAAGCCTCACCCTTGGGCTCTCAGTTCCTCTCTCTGCTCTACAGGAATCAAAGTCAGCCAGGCGCAGTGGCTCATGCCTATAATCCGAGGTAGGCGGATGGAGGGAGGCCGAGGTAGGCGGATCGCCTGACGTCGGGAGTTCAAGACCAGCCTGACCAACATGGAGAAACCCCCTCTCTATTAAAAACCCAAAATTAGCTGGGCAAGGTGGCACATGCTTGTAATCCCAGCTACTCGGGAGGTTGAGGCAGGAGAATCCCTTGAACCCAGGAGGCAGAGGTTGCGGTGAGCCAAGATCGCGCCATTACACTCCAGCCTGGGCAACAAGAGTGAAACTTCGTCTCAAAAAAAAAAAAAAGAAAAGAAAAAGAAAAGAAATCAAAGTCTCCTCATGCATTATCTTGTTTATAGGATGAGTTGGGCAGGTTTATGGAGAAGCTGGACTAACCCTGCAGACTTCTGGGCTTTTAAGCTCTTGCTGGTGCCAAGCTTCAGGAATGCAGCCCTCCTCCAACTTATCCTTTCCCCTCTTCAAGGTCTTTAAATAACACCCACTTGGTCAGAAAAGCCTTTTCTGATCCCTCAAACTATGTTAGATTCCCTATTACACACAGCATCCTCAACTTCTCCTTTACAGACATATCATAATCATAAATAAACATTTGTGTAACTGTTTTTTCCATGGTGCCTCCCTGACTAGAAGGTATCCTTGAAAGGAGGGCTCATATGTGGCCAATGTGGGATTCCCAGTATCTAACACAGTCCCTAGCATTTAGTAGGTACTGTATACATGTCTGTTGGATGCTGAGAAATGAATTAGTGAAGTTGCATGCACACATAGACATAAATGCATATCACATGTGTATTTAACAGGAAGTCTGCAGTATGGAGTCATCTTGCCCAGCTAAGGAATTACCCCTCACTGATTTCCTTAATATAGAATACTTCTAGCTAGCTAGCAAGTTCAAACTTTTCCCAGTTTTTAGCCCTTCATTCTGCCTGTTTTTTGGAGCTGTTCTACTTCTGACAATCCCTATTCTTGGACTGAGCTAAACCATCTCCTGGATTCCTGAACTCTTTTTTCTTTGGCCTTTAACATCAAAGACCTTTTCTATCTTTCTTTCTTTCCTGGAAGGCTTCTGTTTTTCTCCTAGCTTCTTGCTTTCCCTGTGATCTGTTGTGGTTTTAGAATAAATCTTTCTCCAGATATTTTCCCAGGCCTATATGTACCCAATGTCAAATCACTTTTTATGTATACACCAAAAAGGCACTCAGTATTAGGACCTATCCCACATCCAGGCACACAGTAGGAAACCATACTCCAAAGTGACTATCTGCTAGACCAGAAAAGACCCAGATAACCTTGTTGGTCTCCTTACCACTCAGAAATATTGTTATGGTTTTAGAATCTGTTTTTTAAAAAATGGTTTTCTCTACCATTTTTACATATATAAATCCATGAAAAATATTGATGTCAATATCCTTTCATTCCTGAATTTAGTCAAAATCTTGGAGTGATTAATCAACTCCATTAAAATTGAAAATTCATAATATATCCTCTGGGAAAACTACTTTCATTTTTCAGGGATTGATATTTCTCTATTATTTCATGTACTTGTATTTCCAAAAATGTATGCTTTGTCTTTTCAATAGTTAACATATTTCTCCCAAAGTATTTTTCTTCTAAACATATTATCAACTCGGTGGCAGAATGTTTTCACAGTATTTATCTTGTTTGCTGCCCTCTGTTGTCTACTGCACACACAGACAATTTTATGTGTGAAGAAAGCATGCCTGAATTTCTATACGGTTGACATTTTTACTTTTGTTTGCAGTATCTGAGTCTTAACTAAATAGTTATCTCCCTCCTCTGTTTTTGTACCCTTTAAGATTCCTACCAAAGTTCTCTTCCAGAGACATATAGGGATTTTGTACCTCTGTGTCTTTATTATTTAAATTGCTCATAAGTGAGGAACAAGTAGAAAAAAAGCAAATATAGGGAAGGTGTCTGTGCCCCTACTGCCCACTTGCCCTGTCCTCAGTCACCAGTACCATCACTGCCCATGGGAGGGTAAAATGAATAAAGGAAAGGTGGAAATCTATAGAACAGAATCCCCCAAAATCATGTGAATTTTAATTAGAACCCAGGACTCCTGACTCCCATCAATTGAATTTCATCTTTTGTAGGTGCTTTGTTCACAGCTCTGATACAGAGCACCCCAAGGAACAAGGAGCATCCCTGGTCTAGTGGGCATTAGCTCTCCTGCCATTCAAATCCCCAGATCCTCTCCCACTTCGTACTCTAGTGTTTAACCTTTCCGGGTAGAAGATCAATACAAATTCTTCATTGTTAAGAATCGATGGCTGTCCCGTGGCATCATTGCCATCTAGTTTTGCTGAGAAGCTCAGTAAATCTCTCCAGCTGCTTCTAAAGCTTGGTTTGTCGTCTTCAGTTGCTTTCATTTTTAATGCAGATCACTTTGGTTTCTGTTCCCCTGGGGCTTGCAGATAAATCTTGGCAGACATGTTCAGGGTCTACAAATGAGATGCTGGAAAAGGGCCAGCCCACCCGAATTTAGTTGTAATGGATGAGACACCCCCTTGGTTCCACTTAAAGACTGGGCTATTCGTTTCAGTATTTATTGGTGATTACTTCATATAGTACCTAGGTGGGAAGTTCCCAGGATAAGTTCCTATGGACAAAGGAGGCCGAAAAGTGAGCTGTGATCCAGAAGCCTGCTAGCTGACTCAGCCTTTCTTGTAAATAGGCAGAAGTCACAGATTTACTTTGATCCTTCAAATACATAATGAAGAGAAAAACTAGATAGTTTAGTTGCCCTGAATCAGGAAAGTCTAGCGGGAAACCTCTGCACTGCTTACTTACAAACCAAGTGAAAAATTACCTGCCTGATTTTCTTTTATTAATAAATAAATATATTTATCATATTGTTGAACGGCATCCTACTAGGAGTGATCTTTAAATATTTAATGTTAGTTAATGATCTCCTTCTCCCATAGTCCTTTGCTCATGCTGAGTGTTCGGCTGTATCTCATCTCAACCCCCCTTAATCTGAGGTTTCCTAGGGACAATATCAGAACCCTGGTTTCCATTTGCAGCAAAAACATGGGCTCCTTGGAAAAAATAGAGTCCTTTTAACTTTGATTTCTCCACTCTTTGATCAGCAGACTATGCCAGTTACTACCAGGGCCTATGGGATTGCCATGGTGACCAGCCAGATGAACTGTCCTTCCAACGGGGTGACCTCATCCGCATTCTGAGCAAGGTAAGGACAGAAACCGTGGGGCTTGAATCGAAAGTCAATGTTTTCATTCTTGATTTAGTCACCATAAACAGAATTATTCCATGTCCTACCCTTCCCATGGCTCCCTCATATATAAATTCCCATTTACTCATAATTGTTAGGAAAAGTTTTACATGAAATTCCAGATTCAGGAACCAATTTCACATTTAAAAATACAAGGCCAGGCAGGGCATGGTGACTCACGCCTGCAATCCTAGCACTTTGGGAGGCCGAAGCTGGTAAACTGCCTGAGCTCAGGAGTTCAAGAAGAGCCTGGGCAACATGGTGAAACCTAGTCTCTACTAAACTACAAAAAATTAGCCAGGTGTGGTGGCATACACCTGTATTCCCAGCTACTTGTGAGGCTGAGGCAGGAGAATTGCTTGAACCCGGGAGGCGAAGGTTGCAATGAGCCAAGATCACGCCACTGCACTCCAGCCTGGCAACAGAGCGAGACTCCGTCTCAAAAATAAATAAATAAATAAATAAATAAATAAATAAATAAATAAATAATAAAAATAATAATAAAATAAAAAATGCAATAAAATTGGTATTATACCAAAACTATGCCAATCAAAATTTAATCTTTCTCAGGGACTTGTGCTTAAAGGCCATCACTATGTACATAATTTATTACCACATAATACTATTGAAAACATTCTGGCTAGGTAAGCTGCCTTCTTATTTCATTTATAGATAAAGAAGACTGTAACATAATTATGCATGGGGGAGGAGTCAGAGCTAGTTAACTCAATTGGTTTGAGCAATTGCTGATAAGGCCAAGAGAGTGAATTCAATCCCACACAGGTCAGCTAACTTTATTCTCTTCCTCAGTCACAAGTTAACCCCTAGTTCCAGCTAACCATCTCACAAATAGTATTGTTGACCATAAACAAACTGGTTTTTTTAAAAAAGGGTGGATTATTACAGATTAATCACTGATGTGAAGAAGATTCAGAACTCATGGGCTACAGTTTGGGGGATCAGTAGCATCATGTTGGTAAAGAAAGACCATACATATTCTATGGGTGAGCTAAAATAACAGGCTCTGTCCCTAGCACTTATTAAAAAGCCCTCTCTCTATGCAGCCAATCAATCTCCACAAACACATTTTTGAAATAGGCACAACTTGCTCTTTAATTGCTGAGTATGTGGATTCCATAAGGGAAAACTAAAAACCCATTGGTTATTAATCTATCATTTATTGTTTATCTTTCTTCTTTTTTTATGTGTCAATATCTTTTATCTTTATTCTGTGAATTTTACTACCTTGGGAAAAGGTTCGTTTCGGTTTGAGATATACCATAAGCACCTTAGGAAACAGTCTAGGTCTGACCCACAGCACCTTTCCATGGTTCCAACAGAATCAGGGCCCTTTAAAAACGGACCCAATTCAAACCCAACCCTTTGTTTGCAAGACAGTAGGAGGCCTGCAGGCCTTGCTGAGTGAGATCACAATCTTCTAGTGATTTCTCCTGGATCCTTAACTCAGTACCACCCTAGTGCCATTTAGGTGCAGCTCCAATACACCAAGAATAAATTGGAAGCAAAGAAGGGAGTGGACATTGGCCTGATTGGTATTTCAAATGCCCAAAAGCAAGGTTTGCCGTGTAATAGAATTTGTGTACATTACCACGCTGGCATTACAGGGGTAATCGAGTTATCCACTCAGGTGTGACCAGGCCTCTGTTTGCCCAGAGCCTGCAGGTGAACAAATTAACTGTTTACTTTGTCTGGAGGTGCCTGCAGCAGGAGGGGGGAAGAACAGAGCCAGACTGGCTGCTGGCCTTCTCTCTGTCATGATTATTTTGTTTGTTTTGCATGTCTTTTGCCTTTGTTAATGGCTTCTCACTGGGGGTCCCTTTCCTCTAGTTAGAAGGGGTTGTGCGGTGACCTGTCCTGCAGTATGGAGCTGTCTGTGGTTACAGTGGCTATTGTATTTTTAAGAAATCTCAAAGAACATGGGGAACCAACCCAATCTTAAAAAAAAAAAAAAAAAAAAAAAAAAAAAAAAAAAAAAAACCTCTTCCCCTTCTCTGTTACTTAAAGGTAACATAGGCCAGGCATGGTGGCTTACACCTGTGATCCCAGTATTTTAGGAGGCCGAGGCGGGAGGATGCTTGAGCCCAAGAGTTTGAGACCAGCCTGGGCAACATAGCAGGATCCCATCTCTACAAAATAAAAAATAAACTAGCTGGGTGTGGTGGTACATGCTTGTAGTCTCAGCTACTCTGGAAGCTGAGCTGGGAGAATCACTTGAGCCCAGGAGCTCAAGGCTGCCAAGATTGCTGCCATGATTGCCACTGCACTCACCTGGATGGCAGAGTGAGACTCTGTCTCCAAAAAGAAAAAAAGAAGAAAAGAAAGCAAATATATCAGAGTTTAATTCAATGAGAATACCTCGCTGCCGTGTTTCTGTCAGCTTCTTTCTCCTCTCTTCTGGAAGGTTCTGAGTCCATTTTCATCCTGTACCATTGTATTAATAGTAGCATATTTCTTCACCAAAAAGCTACACCAGCTGGCTCCCTTCCCCATGTTGCAAATCCCTGCGTATCAAAGGGGAAATGAGAAGTTAAGAGCTCAGCCGAACTTTCCCTCATGAAGCTGCATTCCAGTTAACATTGGTTTGGGGAGCATTTCAGTTTTGATTCACCTTTATTATATTACCTAATTCAATAATAGTCCTTGGACAGGAGGGAACCTTAAAAGGCCACCCAATCTATTCACTGCCTTGCTTCTAAGAAGCACAAATGAACAAATTCAGACAGATAGAAAAGGAGATTCCACTACCATTCCCAGCCATCTGTCTATTTATAAGTTCAGTAGTGCCTCATCTCGGGAAGTTTCTCTCAAATGGATCCTAATTTATTCCCACTTTAGCCTCAGCTGCCTTCTTTTGTTGGGGTCCGTTACACTCTGCAGCTGTCTCTCACACCTGTAAGGACAGAACTGACCCAAGTTGAATTTAGTCCAGGAAAATGGTGTCTAGAAAGCTCTATTTTACTTTTCTTTTTGTCCAGTAGAAGCTCCGTTGGGCAAGAAGGGCCTGCTGTTTAGGAATCTGGGGAAATCTGTTTCCCTGAGAAACACAGATGCAGCTGTGTGCAGCTCAGCTTAACTGGACTTGTTTCCTCACCTGTTAAAAGAGAGAGTGGGGTTGGATAGCATCTAAGAATCCTTCTACCTCAGACATTCCCATTCTAAATATGGTGGGCCTGACACTGCAAAACTGCTAAAGAAGTTCCACACAAAAATGTGTTTTAGCTTTATTTATTCAGTTTAAACAAAAAAGAATTTTTTTTAATTACCAGCTCTTTTGTTTTCAGTTATCATAAATACATCTGGTTTCCCCCTCTCTATCTGATAAAAGTATTCTGAAAGGCAGAGTCCAGGGTGCGGAGGTTAGAGGATCTAGAAAGGGAGGTGAGATGGAGGTGGCGGGGGAGGGAGGGGGGGCGGGGGGGGGGGGGGGGGCGGGGGGAAATGAGGATGGAAGCTTTAGTCATAGGCTCCTGCTGCTCCCTGCTGTTATCTTAACAGTCACCCCAGTATGATCCAACTTTGAATCTTAGAATCTTGGGACCAAACTCAGGAGAATCTTTTTTTTTTTTCTTTTTTTTTTGAGACAGAGTCTCGCTCTGTCACCTAGGCTGGAGTGCAGTGGCACGATCTCGGCTCACTGCAAGCTCTGCCTCCTGGGTTCACGCCATTCTCCTGCCTCAGCCTCCCGAGTAGCTGGGACTACAGGCGCCCGCCACCACGCCCGGCTAATTTCTTTTTTTTTTTTTTCTTTTTTTAATAGAGACGGGGTTTCACCATGTTAGCCAGGATGGTTTCGATCTCCTGATCTCATGATCCTCCCACCTCGGCTTCCCAAAGTGCTAGGATTACAGGCGTGAGCCAGAACGCCCGGCCCAGAAGACAATCTGTTAGTCTTGCCCTTGCGCAAAAATGATCACAGAAAGAGAGCTATTTATTGCTGCTTTTTTTTTTTTTTTTTCTTTTTGAGACAGAGTTTTGCTCTTGTTGCCCAGGCTAGAGTGTGATGGCATGATCTTGGCTCACTGCAACCTCCACCTCCTGGGTTCAAGCACTGCCTCAGCCTCCCAAGTAGCTGAGATTACAGGCTTGTGCCCCCATGCCCAGCTAATTTTGTATTTTGAGTAGAGTCAAGGTTTTGCCATGTTGGCAGGCTGGTCTCGAACTCCTGACCTCAGGTGATCCACCCACCTCAGCCTCCCAAAATGCTGGGATTACAGGTGTGAGCCACCGAGTCTGGCCATCCCTTTTCAAAAAAAAAAAAAATTATCCAGAGAAGATGATTGACTGGGCAAGAAAGATGCTCCCCAGTGGCTGGGCGTGGTGGCTCATGCCTGTAATCCCAACACTTTGGGAGGCCGAGGCAGGCGGATCACCTGAGGTCAGGAGTTCGAGACCAGCCTGGCCAACACGGTGAAACCTAGTCTCCACTAAAAATACAAAAGCTAGCTGGGCGTGGTGGCGCATGCCTGTAGTCCCAGCTACTTGGGAGGCTGAGGCAGGAAAATTGCTTGAACCAGGAAACGGAGGTTGTGGTGAGCTGAGATCCTACCACTGCACTCCAGCCTGGGCGACAGAGTAAGACCCTGTCTCAGAAAAAAAAAAAAAAGAGGCCAGGCACAGTGGCTCAAACCTGTAATTCCGGCACTTTGGCAGGCCAAGGCGGGCAGATCACCTGAAGTCAGGAGTTCAAGACCAGCCTGGCCAACATGGTAAAACCACATCTCTACAAAAATACAAAAATTAGCTGAGCGTGGTGGTGGATGCCTGTAATCCCAGCTACTCAGGAGGCTGAGGTAGGAGAATTGCTTGACCCTGGAAGGCAGAGGTTGCAGTGAGCCGAGATTATGCCACTGCACTCCAGCTTGGGCAACAGAGCGAGACTCCGTCTCAGAAAAAAAAAAAGGAAAGAAAGAAAGAAAGATGATCCCTAGACATAACCAGTGCCTATCACCTGTCCTGTTCTCAGGGAAGTAAGTGCCTATAACAGACGGGTTATTGATGACCCTGGGCAAAAATCTCCTAATCCTGCTAATCTTCAGTTTCCTCACCTGTAAAAATTGGGAAATTTTATATTTATAGGTTTGTTGTGATGTTTACATTAGAGAATTTGTGTAAGGAAGTGCCTGGCATGTAGGAAGTAGGAATATTTCCTTCCCTTTTACTAATAATAAACTTTTGGATCAGTGTTGGGCACATACTAGGAGTTCAATAAATTATTGAAAAAAAGGTGATCTACAGCACAAAAGGTGCTCACTTGGATATTAAAAAAAACCACCCAGTGAGGGCCAAGCCCAGTGGCTCTTACTTGTAATCCCAGCACTTTGGGAGGCCGAGGTGGGCTGATCACCTGAGGTCAGGAGTTCGAGACCAGCCTGACCAACATGGAGAAACCCCATGTCTACCAAAAATACAAAAAAACTACCCAGCCTACGTGAAAATCCACCATGCCTTTCCTGGTCTGAGAGCTTTCGTCCCTGACAAATTATTCAAACTTCGTTTTCTAGAGAGACTAGAGCCACACATCCAAACTCTGAAACAGTAACCAGTGGCACAGTCAGCAGGAGGCCTCCCACTGACCTCCCTGCATCACATCCATGCATTGCTTGGCCCCATGCAGCGTCATGCCCACTTAATTCACTGAGTTCCAATTTGGGTCTCAAAATTTATTAAAGGGAGATTTTAATAACGAAGCAGATCTGTGCATCCAGCGGATGTTCCTATGTTCCTTTTGGACTCAGATATTTCTGAACAGCTTTTTCCAGTGAGGGACTAAGCTTCCCTTCCTCCCCGGAGCCAGGACGCAGCTCAAGCCACAGCGGGGTGTTTAGCGCTCTTCAGTGGCTCCAGATTGTGGCGCTGGTGCAGGTCTCCTCATACGTAACCAATGGTTCCTGAGAGCCTGCGTCTCGTAAATTACTTCCCACGATGCCGGCGACCACCGCAGAATTCAAGTTTGAATAGAGCAGGAAAAAGGTGTTTGAAAGGCCTGTTCACTCAGCTGCATTTTAATTTCCTTTTCAATCTTGTCCCAATTAATTTCACAGAATTAATCTCACAGAAGCAAACTCGGCAGCATTGAGGCTGCGGTTTTAGTGTGGCGGTCGCTCTGCCTGAACATGAAATAGGAGCTAATATAAAAATCCATCTGCTGTGTTTGAAATACACGCCGGCTGCTGCTCAGTCCTGTCTGACATTCCAAACATCAACAGCGGGGAAAAGTGATTTGGGGGTTAGTGGACATCAGTACTTGGCAGGGGTTCAACAACAGGTGTACTCCAAAAATCCATTCAGCCTGGGCACCAGGCATGACAGGGCAGGTGCCGAATCACCCTCCATGTGATAGTGTGGTGCCCTGGCTTAGTTCCTTTTATCTGCGGATTGCAAGGCCCTTTTGTGGACCAGCACCACTACGGTCACTTGTTTTTGTTTCTGTTTTTCTTGAGACGGAGTCTCGCTCTGTTGCCCTGGAATGCAATGGCGCAGTCTTGCCTCACTGCAACCTCTGCCTCCCGGGTTCAAGTGATTCTCCTGCCTCAGCCTCCTGAGTAACTGGGACTACAGGCAAGTACCATGGCACCCAGCTAATTTTTGTATTTTTAGTAGAGTCGGGATTTTGCCATATTGGCCAGGCTGGTCTCGAACTCCTGGACTCAGGTGATCCATCCGCCTCGAACTCCCAAAGTGCTGGAATTACAGGTGTGAGCCACCGTGCTTGTCCTATGGTCACTTGTTATAAGTGGGAGAAAAAGAGGTAAGAAGCCTCTATTTGGATATGACAAGTCACGAGTCCTAGCTTTCAGAAAAGTGACCCTGTCTTCTTGCAGTGTCTCTCACTAGGGAACATTCTTTCCAAATAATAATAATGCTTGTTGGCAGGGCGTGGTGGCTCACTCAGCACTTTGGGAGGCTGAGCAGGTGGATTGCCTGAAGTCAGGAGTTCGAGACCAGCCTGGCCAACATGGCAAAATCCCATCTCTACGAAAAATACAAAAATTATCCAGGCGTGGTGGTACGTGCCTGTAGTCCCAGCTACTAGGGAGGCTGAGGCAGAAGAATTGCTTGAACCCAGGAGGCAGAGGTTGCAGTGAGCCAAGATCATGCCGTTGCACTCCAGTCTGGGCGACAGAGCAAGACTCTGTCTCAAGAAAAAATGAAAATCATCATCATCATCATCATCATCATTATCATGCTTATTCCACTATTCAATTTTTTTTTTTTTTTTTGAGATAGAATCTTGCTCTGTCACCTAGACTGCTAGACTGGAGTACAGTGGTGCAATCTTGGCTCACTGCAACCTCTGCTTCCCGGGTTCAAGCTATTCTCCTGCCTCAACCTCCCTAGTAGCTGGGATTACAGGCTCAAGCCACCACACCTGACTAATTTTTTGTATTTTTAATAGAGATGGGGTTTCACCATGTCGGCCAGGCTGGTCTTGAACTCCTGGCCACAAGTGATCCACCTGCCTTGGCCTCCCAAAGTGCTGGGATTACAGGCGTGAGCCACCGTGCCTGGCCAAGATAACATTTAAATGCCCTTTTTTTTTTTTTTTTTTTTTTTTAAAGCATCCTGTTCCAGAAATTATTTATGGTGGTAACATGAGCTGTTCAGAAGATAAGGGCAAATTAAAGAGGGAGAGAAAGAGAAGCTCTTTTTCAATTGACTAGGAAGAAGAGGCCACTGGGTGAGGTCTTCCATTTAAGGTAAACTGAGCCAGTGGGATACATTTCTTGGGCTTGGGTTGTGTGCCTCATAAATTGGTTTGAGGCTCTTCCAAGGAATTGTCCAGTGCCTTATTTTCATGGAAAGCAGCCTTCGAGCAACAGGTTGGGCACACATAAGGTTTATACTTACATAGTGGCTTAGCTGGGGTGGGAAGGTATTCTCATGGCCCAGACACACCAGGATCTGGGTCATCTTCCTTACTGATGGAATTGACGTGGAAACAGGGAGCCATACAGACACAGTCAGGTTTAGCATGGAACACATGATGCTGTCAGATGGTCATGGGTCTTACGTGGAGAAGAATGGACAGACTTTGTCACCCTGGACTGCAGCTACTTAAACTCAGATGGGATCCTGGCGCCACAGCCAGTCTAGTCATCTGAATGCAACAGGCCTGTGCCAGCACACCTGGACTTTGTTAACACAACACTATGTCTATTACAATGGGAGTTTTAACCCGGTTTTCTCCACCTACTTCCTCAATGTGCTACTTAAAGAATGTAGACCTTTCCCCTCCCTTGACCCCGTTCTTTCCAAAAGAGATTTGTATGTTGTAAAAATTATCTTAATGCAGCAATACTTCCTCTTTTAAGTGTGCTTAGTTGAATGTGACAACAACCCTCATAAAAACAGATAAGTTAATTCCTTCAATTGCTTTAAATGAAGGATTTTTTTTTTTTTTTTTTTTTAATTTCAAGGCTCTGAGGGAAAGGAGGTGTTTGGTGACATCTAGTGTCCATTTAGGACTTCCTCAGGCACTATACCCTCTGGTTCGCTGAGTGGGGGATGGGCGGGGGTTTATCTGGGAGGTAATTTAGGAGTAGTAAGTAGGGAGAATATAGGCCTGGGGCACAGGCTGCCCAAACAGTGTGATGAAACTGATCAATGCCTGTCAAAGAGCTATTATGCACCTCTGACCTAATCAAAGGGGTGGGTGAGGGGATCCTATGGCAAAGCATCTTTTATTATTTATGATGGTACGAAAGAGAAGCAGAAGCTGTCCCCACCACCCCATTTCATGTTAACAAGCAGGTCAACACTGTGCTGTGATGACGAAGATGATGATGATGGTGTTTTCTCTCATTAATAACCCCTATGGGAGGCAACAGAGTTAGGAGGATGGGAATGGGATTTGGGGTCAGCTGGAAGGCAACGGTCATATACCGGTCAAATTCAGAAGAGGCCATTCCTTTCCCCCAGACAGGAACCAATCGTCTAGAACAAACCCTGGCAGCCTCATTCCTTCCAGGTAATTTTTATAAATGAGGGGACACCCATTCCAAGAGAGGACAAAAGGGAGAGGGTGTTTATGTATGTGTGCATATGCATGCATGTAAACCTGCTCGCAAGAGGCCCAATTGCACATCAACCCTATCCTGCAAACCCTGACTATTTATTCTAAAACCCATTTTTTAAAAAGAGAATAAAATTGGCATTTTTCTCTCTATTTATTCCTAAACAGTTGTCCTGGACAAGACCTTTCACTTTTCTCTGTGTGTGTGTGTGTGTCCATGTGCACACACAGTTTTCAGTGGGGGAAAGTCCAGACCAGATAATTAACTATGAAGCCCAGACAGAAATGTTTACCTAGAACCATATAAGCCATGGCAGGGTTAGGTTAATGCTCAGAATCGCCCAATGCTTTACAAACTCCAGTGTAAAAAATTCCAGCCATTTATTTTGCAGCGAATTTATAATAAATGCTGTTAAAGTCTTCGTCTTTTGACAGAGGTAATAATAAATTCACTGTTAAAGACGGTAGTTTAATTCCTTATACCTCCAATACTGCACAGAATAAACCATATTCATCACTGAGTAATTTTTTACCACATAAATCTTTAAAACTAACCGGTGAAGGCTGTTGAGACTGAAATATTGTGAATTTATTAGATATGCCCATGTAGTATTGGATTCAGAGGTTTCCATTCGAATATATTATGGGAAATATTTGTGTCTTTAACTGTGACATTCCCTCCATTTCCAATCGCCAGTATTATAACAAGCAGCTCCTCCAGTCAACTGCACGTTTATTAGACAGAGATTTAGTAATAAACTCCCCACTAATCTGCCAAAGAGGCTGGATGACATTTTGGTGAGATGCCCTATTTAAAAGGAGTCACAAAAGCTTTGTTTCAGTATAATTATTTTCTCAAAAGGAACTCAGCCTCCCCATGCCTCTTCTGCCACCATTTCTTGGTATTGCATGGACTCAGCTCTCCAACCAAACTAGCAAAATACTGAAACAAATTATAACCTCACTGCTAACACACAGGGCCGTAACTTCTATGCAGGTTATAGGATTAGTTATGCAGGACTGAAGGTAATTGATTAGAACACAGAAAAGCTTAAATTTGCAGACATTCCCAGATATACGGTATTTAAGGCTAATAAAAAGATCATATTGATTCTCAAATTAGAAATAATAGAAAATGGTTTCAGAAAACTAGTTATTCAAAAACTTTCATCTTGACATATTAAACATTAAAGATACAATTAAATCCTCAGATTGGAACAAAAATCCTTTTACTCTACATATTAATTTTGAGTGAAAATCTGTACCTGATAGATGAGAATATTCTGAACCTTTCTCATGATTTGCTAGTGAAGTGACATTGAAACTAACCAAGTATATCAAATTGTAACACCCTCTCCAGTTTCATTAAGGAAATATTAATATTGCTAAAATGAAAAATATTTGTTTCTTTTAAATGCAGAAATGTTCATCATATTTTTAGCAAAAAGAGTCTGCAGTTTCTCTGTTCGTGATAATATTCTATATTTGGGGACAGTTCCAAATAGTAAGAACTTCCATGAAGCATTGTGAACTTTATAGTTTTTTAATAAAATTGGTTTCTAACTATTAAACAAAGGAGAAAAATCTCCTGGAAGTGCAAGGCTGTAGCCCATCCGAATAATTGTTAAAAGACAGAACCCGGCTAGAAAGATAAGCATAATACCAGCAATTAATATTCAGCATTTCACATTATAGTCAAGAGGATGTGTTTTTCTTTGTGATGTGGCTCATAAGCTAAGAGTGTTGGGAGCCAGACTCTGAGCTCTGTCTTCTTTTTCTGGATGAGGATTAAGGAGGAAAAAAACAGCAACGACAATCCTGCTCCATCTGTAAATGAACAAACATCTTGATTTTATAGCTATTTGCTTTGTAAAACTAAGGAATGAAACAAAAATTACTGGATGCCTAAGTAACACTTTAATTCTGAATTCATTTACGCTGTAGCTATGTAGTTGTCACAAACCATAATGCAGTATTTAATTAAAATAACAGAAGTGTATCTAGACATGTCCTGGGGTAGCTATCACCAAATTATACTCTATGCCATCGGTATTTTATTTATGAAATGACAGATTCTAAGGTGCAACTAGGCTGATACAAAAGCATGAACATTTTAAACTTGCATTTTTAGAAAGGCTCTTTTTTTTTTTTCCTGCTGCGTCTTTAAGTGTTTTCCTCCTTCTATCTTTGGAAGGGGAGGGAGGTTAGTGTAATTGTTAAAGATCTCTCTAACTCTTGCTTTTCAACTATTGACCTCCTAAGTCTTCGGGCTGTGAAATCCCCTCTGTTTTCATGGAAAGGCTTGCAAGGTTCACAGGACCCACAGCAAGTGTGGGATATCTTAGGCAGAACTTGGACATGGATTCCAGAAGGGTAGGAAAAAAGCAAACCGTTTCAGACTCTCTGTGCCTGTTCCCACATAATCTTCCTTGCACCTTTTTTCCACCTATAAATACCCGTTATAGTGTACACGCTTGCTTGCTCTACTTTGTGGATGTTCACATGCAGACATACTGCTCCTTTTCATAAGCGCATAGCATCTATCTTACACGCACCCACCATCTATCTCCTTGTTCACATTGGCTGTCCCATCCACCTCCTTGTCTGCAGAATTATGTTCAGCAAGGTCCCGATTTATAGGAAATAAATAATGAAAATGGAATAGACTGGGAAAGATAATCGAAACATTCAAATTGTTATTTTTCACTGTACTTTACACAAACAGAGCATCTATAAACACCTAGAAAGGGGGTTGGCTGATCCCTAAAAAGCAATGCCTTTTGAAACATTGTAACTGAGGGGGTCTCTCTACACCTTTCCTGTTCCCCCTCTCCTGCTTTTTGATGCTCACCATTTTAAAATGGTAAACAATACTGTGTTATTGTTTTCATTCTTTCTACTTACTTATCCTGTCTATAATGACAAGTTTTTGCCATCACTTATCCTCTACAAAATAATCCTGAGAATTACAAAATAGAAACAATAATTGCAATCACCTTTTTAAAGAAAAAAGCCCTTGCATTTGCTGTATAAAGATATTCAGATAATGGCATCATCGTATCACAGCCTGATCCTACAGCAAGGGTCTTTTGGAGAGAGAGTTTCTTCTACACACTTGTAATTATTTTAGCCCCTTTCACAGGTCACATAAAAAGTTAATTTCAATCGCTGCTAATTTCCGTCCAACAAGAGTGCAGTACTTTAAACCACCCAAAATAATTGGATTCAAAACAAATTTAGGAAATTGAGTGTGTTAGAAAGCAAATAAAAATATCCTTTTGGTAAGGAGGAGGGTGAAAGTAGTAAAAATGGCCTTTTTTTCCCCTTCTTTCCCCTTCACAACTTTGCCATTAAAGTTGCACCTACAGCTAGAAGTTTGTCCGTGAAAAATGGTCATTTTGTTTCTCTGCTCAAAGAATGTTATTAAAATGCTAATTTAAAAGAAAAAGGAGTTAAATATCTAGCGATGGTGCATTCTAATTGCAACCATAATGAGCTCTCTAAATGTGCGTGCCCCTGACACACACAGAGCATAAACAGCAGTAAACAGATCATTAGTACCCGCGTTCATTTATTCTGGCGACCTTACCATGACCCCACTGAGGGTAGGGTGAAAAGCAGGTGGATCTGGCTGTGACACCCCCTAGAGGGATCCAGGAAATGAAGCTATAAGCGGTTGTCATGGAAACGCCTATGTGTGCAGATGATGTAACACACCGACAGGCTGTAGGGCTCCGCAACTGGGACATTGCCTTTCCCTCGCTGGAACAATCGTGAGGATTAAATTATTCATTTCTTTAATTCACAAAGCAAAAGGAATCCTAATTTTCTTGGTGATGTGCAACTCTCTTCCATTTGTCTAGGGTCTGGAACATGGTGACTTGTCATCCTTCTTTCTCCAAAACCCACCCCAGCTAGACCCAAATTGCTGAATCTGGCGCAAGCAAGTGGGGAAAGGCAGTGGAAATCTGACACCCAACATCCGTACTTAAAGAGAGAAAATCTAAGGTTTTAAGCTAAAATTTAAAATATAGACAGTGTCCTCTCCTAATGAGGGCATATTGACCAGAGACTAAATGTATACTTGTCCTGAATGAGATGGCTTTGTTTAGAGTGGAGCAGAGACAGGGTTGGCCCTGGGAACTAACAAGCTGGTACCTGACGCCGAGAGTGGAAAGGAGAGAGGCTTCAGCCCCAAATGAACACATCACCCTAGCACACCCTATGTGTGCTTTCTAGCAAGGTGCAAGGAAAAGAGATAAGAGAAAATGAGCATCTGCTCACCCTCCCATGTCCATTTGAGAGAATCGAGATTAATAAAAATAATTCTTTGGAGAATGATTCCACTCTATCCTATCCTGTTTTGCACCAAACAACCTCAATAACCTTACGGCAACAGTAGAATAACTTTTCTTCTTTTTTTAAAAGGAAGCAGAAAAGATGATCTCTGGAAATTATTTTAAAATAAAAAATCTCCCAGCCTGCGCCTCCCCCCACACCCCCTCCCCATTGCACTTTAGATGAACCTGTGATATTGTAGCAATGGCCCTTGAAGTGCAGTAGGGAGGTGATTTAGGAGAATATTAAAGGCAATGTGGAGATTCAAGGCGCCTCTCTCAGGGAGATCTGGAGAAATACGCAGCACAGATGGGCCGAGCAGATTAAACATTTCCGTCACATTGTTTCCAAATTGTGTTGTGGTGCCTGAGGCTGGTACTGCGGTCAGAGCAAAACAGAGCGGTGCAGAGCTGCGCAGTTTATGGAATACATATTAATACGCCCGTCTCACATGGTATCACAATTCTATCAGCTCCGAAATGGTGCTGTCTCTATTGTTCCTGACTTCTGCACTTGGCACCTTGTTTTCTCCCATCTGCAAAGTGTTTACCTTCCCTCTATCCTTTCTCTCTTCTTTAGGTAAAGTTCAAGTTGTGTGCTTCTTTTCATTTCTCTTTCCTTACAGCCCTGTTTCACAGCTTATGATTTCTTTGCTCGTACCTTCACAGCTTATGATTTCTCTATACACTTGCACACACCCACTCTGTGTTTTGCACACATTTCACCAGCAACATGCAGTGTGTGCACAGGCCCTGCACACCTCCGTGGCCTCAGCTTGATCATTATCTACTCCCACCCTGTTCAGGACATAAGCTTCACCCTTAAAGCTGAATGTTCTCTCGCACTCAAGTGCTCTGAGACCCTCCATCTAGAGAACACATTCCTCTTCTCAGAACACTTAGCTCGGGGTGCGCTTTGTGGAGTTGTCGCCATGACCCACCCCCCTCCCAACTGCTGTTGCTGACTACCCAGCCTTCCCACGTCCCCCTCTCACACTCGCATACCTTCCCCTGTATCCAGGCCCATCAATCTCCAGGTTAGCAAGTTCCCTGAAATGTAACAATAAATAAAACTAGCTCAATTGAGGCAAATTTAATGATTCATTTTTATTATGATTTATAGACCAAAACTCTGAATAATGGAAAAAGAGAAAGCGATTGCCAAGAACTTAAAACACACTGTAAAACAGCCTGGAGAGGCTGCCACGCCACCCAAGGTTTCAGTCAAGTGCTGAGCTTCGATCCTTTCACAAGTTCCAACGCCACTAACCCACCAGCCACCCAACTGCCCATTTCCTTTCTCCTTCTGGAAAATCGCTTTGTAAAACTATCTATGCTGAAAAATGGGCGCTTTGTCTTTGGTGAACTATTTCTGTTCCCAGCCTTGTTTTTCTCAGCAGTTAGAAGGATGCTGATTTGGAACCCTTAATTTATTTCATAGGGTATGATATCCTAAGAAGGCATATATATATCCAAAGCTGGATTTTAGGAGTAGAGAATTTGTGGGGAAATCCAGAGTAAAAATATGATGTTTGGGACTGACCCTGGAATAGTACAAATTTCTCTGCTTAGGAATTCAAATTTCCCATCTTAACTAACGGCAATGTATAATGCACAAACACTAATAAGAGAAATAAGCAATCATAAACCAAAAATTCTGTGATTCATTGACCTTTCCCATACATATATCAAGCACTTCAGGTTAGGGGCTGATACACTGTTCTCTTGAAGATGCATCTTCTTGTTTATAAGCACTGATATAGGGAACTTTTATGGTAAAAAGAACAAAAAAGTATGAGATATTTTCTGGGAATCTTGTTCCACGGAGGCTTGGAACCCAATTCAATGTGAAAAGAGAATGTTTCTGTTAGGAGCTTTCTCCAGGGAACTGACAGTGTCAAGCAGCTTGCTCCAAGCCATTTGAATGGAAACTATGAGAAGACACCACACCTTTGAAGTCACAGTTAAATAGATAATGCCTTGACTGGGTGCAGTGGCTCATGCCTGTAATCCCAGCACTTTGGAAGGCGGAGATGGGCAGGATCACCTGAGGTCAGGAGTTTGAGACCAGCCTGGCCAACATGGTGAAACCCCATCTCTAGTAAAAATACAAAAATTAGCCAGGCATGGTGCCAGGCACCTGTAATCTCAGCTACTCAGGAAGCTGAGGCAGGAGAATCGCTTGAACTTGGGAGCTGGAGGTTGCAGTGAGCTGAGATCGTGCCACTGCACTCCAGCCTGAGTGACAAAGAACAAAACTCTGTCTCTAAAAAGAGATGATTCCTTAAAAGAGGTACACAAATGCAGTCGACCTTTGAGGAGGGAATAGCCTCTTCAGCTGGAGGGCTGAAGCCCATGAAATCTAGCATGGAAGGAATGAGGATTCTTGATTCTCCTTCACTGTATTTTTTTTTTTAATGGAGTCTTGCTCTGTTGCCCAGGCTGGAGTGCAGAGGCGCGATCTCGGCTCACTGCAACCTCTGCCTCCTGGGTTCAAGCGATTCTCCTGCCTCAGCCTCCCAAGTAGCTGGGATTACAGATGTGCACCACCATGCCCAGCTAATTTTTTTGTATTTTTAGTAGAGACGGGATTTCACCATATTGGCCAGGCTGGTCTCGAACTCCTGACCTTGTGATCCACCTGCCTCAGCCTCCCAAAGTGCTGGGATTACAGGCGTGAGCCACCGTATTTTTAAAAAGCTGTATTTTTTAAAAGCAGGGACCTGTGTGTGGGGAGTGCGGGGATACCCACCCTGGGCCAAAGTACAGATCCAGCCCATAAAGACCATTGTATTTTTTCCCATAGAGTGCCGGCTGGTAAACTGCAAAGGGTTCATAAACCCTTTGAGAATCTGATGAAAGGTCTGGGCCTCACCCCAGGGATAAGGCCTATGTACATATGCACACAAAATTTTACACCAGTTTCAGGGTGTTCAAAGATTCCTTCACATCCATCCAAAGAGAGGCCAGGGGTTCACAGACTCTGGTTTAAGAATCTGTGCCCTGGAGGATGGTGAGTTCCTCTTGTTGGAACAGCCTAGGATTCACTGAGCCTAGAAATTGAATTCTCATCCCAAGACAGGATGGTCATTCCAGGTCATGTCTGTGGTACTCCAGGGGAGCCATGGAAGAGCTTATACAAATAGGAACCAGCAGGGAGGAGAGAAATTAAAATGTAGCAATCATGGAGTAGGGGTATTTAATCTCTTTTAAGGCTTATGATAGGCGCCTGCTGGTTTTCCCCCAATATCCCCTGACACCTACTGACAGGGTATTTGCAGCACCACACAGGGACTCAGGGCCCTGTGACAGGAGGAGCACTGAGGAGGTCCATGATAGTCTTGAAACCATAAACGGCAATAGGAAACCACTGGAGGCAGAGTCAAGCTGTGAGACATGCCCGTTGTTGGTGGCCATACTGCTTTTTGTTTATAGAATTTGCTATTCTTTTTATGGCAGGTTTGGTAGGGTTTTTTTTTTCCTTGTTAATGGAGATTAGCAGCATAAATCCTTTTATGGCAGTGTGAAATCTGCCATAAACACTTTTGATTGTTGCTGATGGTGAGCACTGCGTCTATTTCAGGTTCACTCAATGCTTCATTCATCCAGACCAGTAGTTTCTCCAGCCAGATCATGGAGTCCAAATAGCCAACTTTTATTTTTAAGACTTCTTCATGTGGGTTGTTCAAAGAGGTGGGGCAGGGTTGGTATTGAGAGAAGCAGATGTTTAGTCAAACCTAGAAATATGATGAGAACAAACCATACACTGTGCTTATTTTAGATGAAAGGTTTCTAAAAAGACTTTGTGGCAAGAAGCAAGCCCTGATGGAAAGGTTTGTGTTTGTTTTTAAATAACTTTTTATAATCTTATCTAAAACATCTTCATTGAACAATTTTGTATAATTTAAATCTTAGCCCTACCATTCAGAATATATGTAGAGTTATGGAGTAGTGAGCATGCATAATTCTGAAGCCCTAACACTGTCACTTGTAGATGTGTATCCCTACCTTGGATAGAAATACTTCCAAATTGAGGATTTCAGTTCTCCTGGGAGCCTCTCAGCATTTCTCCAATCTTTCCAAACATCTGGGCAAAGAGAAATCAGACTTTATAGAAAACATTGATCCCAGAAATTCAGTTCTCTTTGCCATCCTAAAACTAAAACCCAAGAATCAGCAACTTAATAAAAATGCAGTAAATTAGCACCTTTAGACAGGAGCAGGGTTCATTCAGAGCTGGGGTCTGCCTGACTGAGCCAGTACTCTCTCCATTTTAATAGTTTAATAAAAATTAGCATAATTAACGAACATC